GTTTCCATCTCAAACGATTTAGCCAGGATGCTCACGAATACAGTGGAATTCCCAATCAGAGAGCTGACATAGTCAAGTGTAAAAAATACCACGTGTTGTTCAGGAGTTAAAATAAAACTCAATTACCTTGGAAATAGAAACCTACCACGTGCATTCATGGGGAAGATAACTGTTTTGGTTGCATAATATTACAACATAAATATAAATTTAGCAATTAAACTCGTGAAAATTAAATAGTGATATGAATTCGAGTAGTTTTTATTAGTATGTTTATTAATTACACATTTTGTATTTCTTTACTAATTAACCAACATAACGTATAGTTTTACGTGACATGATCATAAAGACCCAGTGGGCTGACAAAAACCGTTGAAGTAGTATGACTGTCATCTAGTTAGGGAAGGGATTAATATTAATATTTTAAACTGTGTAAATGTTAACAGAAAAGATGGATTCGAAAAGAAAATCCTTCCGTAGAAGATAAAACACAATCCTTCGGAACGGCATACATAAAAGCTATGGATAATGGTCCCCATTGATGTAGACAATCTCTCAGACCAACACAGAGAAAAGGACCATATGAGCAAAGCTGTCTCCGTTCATCCCCAGAAAATCTTTCTTGGAGCAACTCCCAGAAAAATAGAAGAACAAAGCTGCCCCCATTGCCCCATTCATGTAGACTAACTCTTAGACCGATTAAGAGAAAAATATCAAATGATCAAATTTATGGATAATGTCCCATACACAACAAATATCATCGACACATTTAGAGAAAACGATCAAATGTAGGCATCCGAAAATACATAAACCACCTTCTATAGATAGTCGAGTAATTCAACAAGAATTCACGTGTTGTCGAAGGAGGGTAACAACTGATCGCAACTACTCAAGAAAAAAACATAAAAGAAGGCGGTAAAAAGATGGTGTTAACATTACACTCAGTCAAAAAAGGGAATAGAATTGTACAACATAAATTTACAAAATAAAACAGTGATATAAATTTGTGTTTTTTTTCATTTGTATGTTAATTTAATACACATTTTGTATATATCTACTAATTTAAGCCAACATAACACATAGAGTTTTACCTGACTTGATTACAAAGATCCAGTTGTCTGAAATCTACACTGGTAGTTTTAGGACTATGTCCTCATCAGCTAGAAAAGGGATAAATATCAACCGGAAAGATGGATTTTTAAAAACACCTTCAGTGGAAGAAAAGAAGGTATCTTTTGTGAGGGTGTACATAAACGCTATTGATAATACCCCCAATGATTTAGACCCTCTCAGACACACTGAGGGAAAAGGATCAGATTACCAAATGTAGATAATTTTATCCTGGTCCGTAAAAATTATTGATCAGAGATTGGCCTAGGCCGACATATTTTTGGGTTACCCTAAAAGAAACTAAAGCTGTAGTAGTAGTGGCACTATCCATTCTACAGAAAAAAGAAATAATATAAGGGTGAACCTTCTTATATGATAAACAACCTTGATGTAGACAATCTCATAAACATCCTGCGGAAGAAGGACCAATTGATTAAATTTAGGTTTAAGACATATCTCGACCCTGCATTCCGACAGTGGAGTTGCCTCCACAAAAGAGTTGCCTTAGACAAAATAAATGAGTTTGAACAAGTAAAAAGTGCAGTTATCCAGTCATTCTGCTATAAATCAAGAGTAAGACCCACCTTTTCTCGAGCAGGAATAAATTACCCAAAATCCCTATTAAAATTCATTATACGGTTTATACTTGCATGTATGCACAATTCTCCACTTAAGCACGGGTCACACTAGGCTGGCATCAGCGGCGAATTGAAAGAAGCCGCGACTGTCAGCTTAATGTGACCACAAAATTCGCAGCTGACACTGAGCTGACTCAACCTGGATTGGTGAGCCGGTGATGCTGGTGCCAGCTACTGATCACCAGCGGCTGGCGAACAGCCTAGTGTGACCCGTGCTTTACTTACAAAATTATAGCGATTCGATATGATTTATTGAACACGTTTTTTCCACAAGCAACATCAAGAGAGTTTTCAGTAACAAATTGTCACACAGTAGATATATTTGACAGCTAACCAGACCGGGAACGTGTTAGAGCGGCGAGAGCAACTAAAGATAGAGAGGTAACCAGTTTGAGACGCCTACATTAGCGTCTTAAGCGGTGAGAGGGGTCCGAATGTATTTACCTTGGAGAGAAACAAACTTCCTTGCGAGAACCAAACTATTGAAAATTGCTTTACATGAAAACAGCTGGAAGTAGCCAAAACAATTGATTTTTTTGGCGAGTTGCTTTTAGCGAATTTCCCATAGAGGGAATAAGTTATTACCGTAGGTCTCATGGTGAGACCTAGACCCGGGACCTGTTTACTTTTTCGTTTAGATGTCCCCAGAGGATATACTTGGTGGATGAAGTAACTTGCACCCCTCTTAACTTTTTAACCATTTGAAATAAATTTATACCCTTTTTCCCCTCCAAATAAACCTTGAAATAAGAAGAAACAAATAAATCAATAGACAGATTAGATCGCCTAAATGTTTTAGGGGTATAGTATAACCAGTAATCCAAAGCGTTATACAAAAACAACTTAATTTCTATTGGTGTAACCAACTTGATCATTCTTCATAAGACCGCACAAGAACAATTATCACCCGGTCAACAAAGCTCATTTAATTCACTCATAATTACCTCAGTTATGACAATAACCTGTCCTTATGGGTTAAACGGTGTTTTTACCGTGGTAATAACCCACATGTGTTGAGAACTAGAAGTCATTGTTAGCAATACAAACATGAGATTCTGTGTCACTATTGTATCTTCAGTAGCGTTCTTAGTCCCACTGTGTGATGAAACACACACACACACACACACACACACACACAACGCATTTCAAGGTTGAACAGTTCTCGTGTTATTTTCCTAGCTTCGAAATTATCCTAGTCTCTTCGTAAATATCCTAGGACCTTGGCCTGATAACTGTTATTACAGAACACGAACTAAAGCGTTACAAATGTGGACGTATGATTCCGCTTCTTTGTATTGCTGGTAGATTGTGTGCAGTTTAGATAAATCGATGAAGGGGTTGTAGATTTTCAGGCGTACAAAAGGGTTCCTGTTCTTTTGTATTGCAGTGAGGTTTATTGTATGTAGTTTAGATATCAATGACATTTTTCTACGTTTGGAAACGTACAGATGGTTGTAGTCGTTTGCAAGGTTAACTATAGCGAGGGAAGGGTTGGGAATTTAATGATTTAAAAACTTGTGTCCTTATTGCATAGTTAGAGTTTTGTGTAATGTGCAGTTTAGATACATTGATGAAAGGGTAGTACGTTAGACGTACAGAAGTTATATGGTGTTTTGAATACTCATGTTCAAAACAAGGGTTGAAGATTTACATGTAAAACAAAATGTTTTTTAGTCTTTTTTACTACTGAGTAGTTCGGAATACACAGATAAGTGCCCATAACCTTTTAACGTTCTTATCTGGCATTATTATGTATTTTAGTTATTTTTGAAGTATTTTAAAAGACAACAAATAAATCTAGAACACTACATTACGTCCTTGAAGGGACTTTCACAAATATTCTTCGTGATTATTTATTAATGAATTGATTTATCTTAGATTTTCTCCTAACTCCAATTTGGTATTGAAGTGAAAAGCAGTGAAGAGTAAACCTAACAAAATCCGAATATAATTAGTTTTCTCTTAGTGAATTTTAAGACTAGTAAAACTATTCACTGTTATTGGGAATCAAACCATATTGTAGTGGGAAAATTAGCTATCGTCTAACTTTATTTTACACCGTACTGAAAGAAAAGTTATTGGACATAATAGTTCCTTCAAAGTTTTCCTTATTTACAGATACGTTTAAGGAGATTATTGTATGTTAGGCAAGCTTGATACCATCAGGTTGTACTAAATACTAAGCTTCTTTGTGCCAATCTTGTTATGAAGCGATAGTGCACTTAGTGGTCGTACACGAGCGAAATAATCTGTATATTAGGGAATTTGATGAGGGTAAAACATCGGGAATGCTGAAACTAAATCATTCAGTTAGTATAAAATGTATTAGTTTGAAAATAATTGAGTTTGGTCAATGTTTTTGAACTGTAAATTTAAAAGTCCGAGAGTGTTAAGGCATTCATTAACCAGGATATTAATGTTTAAATCTGCATTCTTTCTATTTGTTATTTATTCGCAATATTAGTTAGTAAAATTATTGCTTTTGATTGAGTTAGTTTTGTGTTTTTATCCTGAAATATGAGTGATGAACAAGTTTTATATGGTCTAAGTTTAATACCCATTCATTTAGTTTTCTTCACAGTAAAAACAATTTTAATTTAGTAGTTATTATAGCTATATTATAAGGCTACAGCTATGTCTAAAAATCATCAATGCAAACTTGATCTGATCAATGTAATCAAAAGATTTGTGCTTTTCCATGTTTTGGTCAGAATTATTTATTTATATTGATACATTTCTAATTCCAAATTCAAACTTTAATTATCTCGCCTTAAAACGGCACCATTGTGTGTCATGTGTATGAAATCCACAATTTAACATTTTCTGAATGCTCTTCATACTACAGTATGTTAGTAACCACATACGAAAATCACATGATTTTTTACCAAGATCAGTATTTTCCATGCTATCTGTTCAAGTAACATGAGTTTAATTAGAAGAGCACACACACGAATATTAGAACATAAACGGTATGTATCATAAACATTAACAAATAACGTCACTAGCCCGAACGCCTGTACCAATAGCTGTTACAACTGGTTTGCCATTTCCATTTAAGTAATAATAAAATCCTGTACACTTTGGTCAGTGGCATATTTGTAATGTTTATGATTCCACACCGTTTATGTTCTAATTCGTGAGAGCAAATTAGTGGTGATTGTGTGATCTACTACACCGTGACTATATTCTTGCATCATTTCCACTTTGTCATCAGTTATCGGTTCGTTATCAGTAACAAGTATGATTATCCCGCAGGTGCGTCAGTTGAGATGTGAGAGCGACCCAGAGCGCCAGCATGGAGTCCCCCCCGCCACCGCTCCCAGCGAAGACCCGTCGCTCCTCCACGGCCCCGGTCATCGTCAGCGCCACCCGACACTCTAGACCTCACGTTGTTAAGATACGGGTCAACTCCGGACCGGTCGCCGCGCCGGCCGTCCACACGCACACCGGAGCAAACACCGTCAGAATCAACATCAACAGTGAGCTAGAGGAGCTCAACATGAGGGGAAGTTCTCCTTACTACTTCTACACCTCCGGACAATCTTCCCCCAGTGATACTCTAGATAGTGGTACCTGCAGTGACCTTGAGCACGGGAGCACGCCCCGCCGCTGCCCAAGAAAGGTGGAGTGACCGTCACAGTTCACCAGAGGGGCGGAAGCCTGACGAGTAGTGGTGCCGACGCTGAGAGTGATGACGAAATCAGTTGCGACTCCTTGAACAGCAGCGAGTTGGATGGAAGCACTGGGAAGCAAGAAGAGGTGCAAGAGGACCCGATAGTTTTGAGGGAGAACCATCACAACATCCACACTCAACAAATTGAAGAAATATGTGAAGTTTCTTCCAAATTGTCTCTCGAGGAACATGAACCGCTCTCGACAACAATCAGCGACGAAAGTGCTTCGTTGAAGTCTGTCGTCGAAGAACGCACCTACGAGGATAGAAACAAACCCGCGGACGCGCCGTTCAACCCGGATAGTTTCTATAAGTTTCATTTAAACGAAAACAGTTTCGAACCGGAAGTGACCAGTGCGCGGAAAGATGACGAGGATTACTTCGCGGGGTGCAAAGGTTTTCAGGAGGGAGATCCTTCGTCGGCGACCATCAGGAGTTCTAGAGGTACCATCAGAGGAGTGAAAAATAGAGTGAGAGCCGGGATAGCTACCTTCCTGCAGATACAAGCTACTAAGGTAAGTGAGTTATAATATATTTAATTTTCCATCCCAGTTTCAAGAACTTGAATTATACTAGATTAATTTTGTTGGTGTAGGCTGTAGTTCCTGAGAAAGTAAGGATTGTTACCTTAAGGTTATTGGTCAGTCTTTACTACTTCACTGAAAGTCTCTACAATATCATACAAAGTAGTTTACAGTGTTGCCACCCACGTATAGTCAGGTGTGACTCGCCTCAGTTGTCATTGTCGAGTGTTTACCTTGGCATCACGTCCAGGGTCAGTTACTGACCACGTAGTCTTGTACACTGAGAGTCTTTACAATATCATCAACAGTAGTTTACAGTGTTGCCACCCACGTATAGTCAGGTGTGACTCGCCTCAGTTGTCAATATCGAGTGTTTACCTTGGCATCACGTCCAGGGTCAGTTACTGACCACGTAGCTAAGTCTTGTACACTGAGAATCTTTACAATACCATCAACAGTAGTTTACAGTGTTGCCACCCACGTTAGTCAGGTGTGACTCGCCTCAGTTGTCAATGTCGAGTGTTTACCTTAGCATCACGTCCAGGGTCAGTTACTGACCACGTAGCTAAGTCTTGTACACTGAGAGTCTTTACAATATCATCAACAGTAGTTTACAGTGTTGCCACCCACGTATAGTCAGGTGTGACTCGCCTCAGTTGTCAATATCGAGTGTTTACCTTAGCATCACGTCCAGGGTCAGTTACTGACCATGTAGCTATGTCTTGTACACTGAGAGTCTTTACAATATCATCAACAGTAGTTTACAGTGTTGCCACCCACGTATAGTCAGGTGTGACTCGCCTCAGTTGTCAATATCGAGTGTTTACCTTAGCATCACGTCCAGGGTCAGTTACTGACCACGTAGCTAAGTCTTGTACACTGAGAGTCTTTACAATACCATCAACAGTAGTTTACAGTGTTGCCACCCACGTTAGTCAGGTGTGACTCGCCTCAGTTGTCAATGTCGAGTGTTTACCTTAGCATCACGTCCAGGTTCAGTTACTGACCATGTAGCTATGTCTTGTACACTGAGAGTCTTTACAATATCATCAACAGTAGTTTCAGTGTTGCCACCCACGTATAGTCAGGTGTGACTCGCCTCAGTTGTCAATGTCGAGTGTTTACCTTAGCATCACGTCCAGGTTCAGTTACTGACCATGTAGCTATGTCTTGTACACTGAGAGTCTTTACAATATCATCAACAGTAGTTTACAGTGTTGCCACCCACGTATAGTCAGGTGTGACTCGCCTCAGTTGTCAATATCGAGTGTTTACCTTAGCATCACGTCCAGGTTCAGTTACTGACCATGTAGCTATGTCTTGTACACTGAGAGTCTTTACAATATCATCAACAGTAGTTTACAGTGTTGCCACCCACGTATAGTCAGGTGTGACTCGCCTCAGTTGTCAATGTCGAGTGTTTACCTTAGCATCACGTCCAGGTTCAGTTACTGACCATGTAGCTATGTCTTGTACACTGAGAGTCTTTACAATATCATCAACAGTAGTTTACAGTGTTGCCACCCACGTATAGTCAGGTGTGACTCGCCTCAGTTGTCAATATCGAGTGTTTACCTTAGCATCACGTCCAGGTTCAGTTACTGACCATGTAGCTATGTCTTGTACACTGAGAATCTTTACAATATCATCAACAGTAGTTTACAGTGTTGCCACCCACGTATAGTCAGGTGTGACTCGCCTCAGTTGTCAATGTCGAGTGTTTACCTTGGCATCACGTCCAGGGTCAGTTACTGACCATGCAGCTATGTCTTGTACACTGAGAATCTTTACAATATCATCAACAGTAGTTTACAGTGTTGCCACCCACGTATAGTCAGGTGTGACTCGCCTCAGTTGTCAATATCGAGTGTTTACCTTAGCATCACGTCCAGGTTCAGTTACTGACCATGTAGCTATGTCTTGTACACTGAGAGTCTTTACAATATCATCAACAGTAGTTTACAGTGTTGCCACCCACGTATAGTCAGGTGTGACTCGCCTCAGTTGTCAATGTCGAGTGTTTACCTTAGCATCACGTCCAGGGTCAGTTACTGACCACGTAGCTAAGTCTTGTACACTGAGAATCTCTATTGTTAAAAGCCTGATTCGATACTATCGAGACCCAACATCACTCCTACAATCACGAGAGGAACCTCCACATTTATTCTTAACCCTGAATAGAATGCTGTTATTTTGAGTTTCTGTTTGACTTTCGGTCAAATTGTTGTAAAATAATTAAAAACTGAACCAAATACCAACTTAACCTAACTGTACTTACGCGGTTCGTATTAGCGTATTAGTGATCATTCACGAACTTTTTAAGTTTTGCTCCACTACTTAAATTTTATAGTAAAGATCTAAATACAGAAAAAAACATTTGATGCTCACTTTTACACAGAATTTTGGAATAACCAAAATTCGTTGTGACATGAACTTAATTTGTAGCCTGACTAAATGGAAAGTCATAAGAAATACAATTCAAAAATGATCATAATTTTAAAACTATAATATACAACCATACATGATAAATCTTTGTCAAACGTATTCTTGACTAATAGCTATAATTTTTACTGTAGCATTTGTATAGGTCTAAGCACATTCTGTTGTCTTAATAGCTTTTATTGTAAAATTGGTATTCCCACTTCTATAAACAATTGCCTAAAGAAAACACCTTATAACATGGTATTAGATAGTTAAACCAATTGAGTTTGACCCTTTTCTAGAAAGACCCATCCATCTATACAGTTTTCCACACACCATTACGATGACACGAAAGCTTACCATTATTTACTCTCCATTCAACTCAGATCGCATTTCTACCAACTTATTTCAGTTAATTGACGCATAAACTGGTCTCGAGGTCAGCTGAGTTATATATGTATATGGTACGTGACCAGGATATGCCGTTTGCGGGGGCCAGTTGCACCAGTAACTACATAGCGACTACATAGCTCAAGTATATAGCCCCAGGTCCGGTTGGGGATTCCGCTCTTGGATTTCATACCAGAAAAACAAGTGCCGTTGCTGCGGCTGGTTTTGCACTAATTAAGTGTAATTGGACAACCTGAAGAATGGCATCGTTTTATGTCTAGACTTCGTGTTAACTTGTGGTGCAGAGTTTTTGTGTAAGAATGGTCTTTTGTTGTTCTTTATGTTAATTAGTGAGGGTACACGAAATGAACCTACCATGTACCTACCTAGTTCCTTAGTATGTACCTAGATACCTACTATGGGAATTGTTGTAGGGTAGGTATTGGTGAAGATCGGTTGTTATGACTAGGGGGGTGGAACTTAGATTATGAGGCATATAGTGAACAAAATTTTAACAACTAAGTAAGTTTAAGTCCACTAGTGCACACATTCCAAATAACGCAACATTAACTTGGTATTTTGAATTAGCGAAGTAAAATACCTTGGTATTCCTTACAAACTACTTACATGGCATTCACACAGTTTGAACAAAACACTTAATTTAAATTATAAAAAAAAACTAAATTGGAATCGGCATTATGGACTGAATTCAAAGATGTTCTAAAAACGAATTACTTTAGTACAAAATTATACTGGAACCTATTTAGACCTACGGTATCCAACTTTGGGAAACCACTCCGAACTCCGACATTGAAATAATTCAAATAATGTATAAACCACTATACAAAATTACCTTATATCAGGGAAGAAATCTAAAAACGACGTGAAAACTATCCAGGAAATAAAAAAAATCCAATTTTTCTAGCAGTAGAACCTTCTTGATATCAACGAAGTCTTGTAGTTTTAGACTTAATGAATTGATGAATTCATCAAATTGACCTTCCATATGGTTCTGGTAAAGTTTGTTATGAAGGTTTTGTTTGATAGTGCACTCGTTGGAGTGTAACTAACATGTCAAATTTGCATAAAATTAACTTAATGTTCTAGTTATTAAAACATATAGTAAATAAATACTTGATAAACACATCTTTGTAACCAAAACTAACTTCTATGTTCGAGTAATTACCAAATTACTGTTTTATCACATTCAAATGAGCAATGCAGAAACATATAATGTAATCTGCAATTTACTATGAAACATTGAAATAGAAAAATGAATCATAAAAAAGCTCACTAGGGTTTGATAAACTACCTTTATGAGCACAAACTACTACAACTGGTCCATAGATCAGATGTTTGAGTACCAAAATCAATTAGGTGGAAAACTTTAATTGAATTTAAGATACCACAATTCTCCATAGTCAAAAGTAAAATGTATGCCACTAACTGACTAGAGGCATTCAGGTTCTACTAGAAACTCAACTCTGCAGAGAATATCCTTCACCTTTCCACTTTAGACCTTGGAGAGTCGCATCACTATCTTCAGCCTCATCTTCGCCACTCACTGAAGATGGGCAAATACCCGCTATCTGCCTTGCGACACAGCATCTGCAAATCATACGGTTACTGATGTAATTATTTGTTACTCGCATGTTTCATGTCGAACTCAATGATATGGTTGACCGTAGTCCCTGTTAAACATGTTGCAACCTCTATTAATATTGTGAAGAAACTTCCCACGGTTTATAATAATTCTGTTGCTATTATTGCCACTGTTAATGCCTTGGTAATTTAGAGATCAGTGGTTCAGGGTGTTTCATAATTCTTATTATTACTATTTAATTTTTAAACAATAACGTCACCTAGAGCGTATTTCAGGCTGAATATCAACGCAAGAATAGCGTAGAATAAAGTCATATAGTATGTTAGGTATTTTATGGGCAATGATCAGCTGTTTCTTTAGTCAAAACCATTGATTAAATCCCTAATTACCAATGACATTGTGAACCGTAAGATAAGAAACTAACTTTTTCCTACAATCACTTGACAAAGTGGCCTTCCTTGCACTGATTATTACACGGAAAGTTTATAATTGCTGTATCTACTTACTTTTGCCGCACACTTTTTTCATACACTAGTATTCTAACCAAAACAACACAAAACAGCGTGCTTTTATTAGG